CTGAGACTAAAAACTTGCTCGACATGCCCGAATTTAAAAGTTTCAGCTCTATTTTATTTAGAGTGGTTGACCGAGGATTTGATCGGATTTTGCTCCATGTACCTTTCGCCTCTCTTGGTTCCAGCCTCCGAATGCTCGCGTACAATCCAGCCCAACTATTGCTACGGCGGAGACGCTGAACGAACACGTACACGTAGACATAGTTTCAAAGCGATTGCGTATACGAACAGCTTCCATACAACTTACAGAGCACCGAGTGTTACGAACGAGAAAGCAGATGCTTTCTTAATTCATCGCTGCTCTTAATGGCAAAATACGTTTCGTCTGATTCGGCAAACGGTGACGCGATACATTGAAAAATCTTCTTTTTCTCGCGATCAACGAGTATACATGACCCTAGATCTTTGACCTGTCTTAATTTCGTCCAATTTTCAGACGCGTTCTACATTCTTGTCGGATCGTGTCACTCCTTCCGGTCTGTATCACGCACGATGACGCGGCGCAACGACGCGACGCGACGCGACGGATCAGCTTTTTGCTAAACTTCTCCTTCTTTTAAAAGCTATTACCAACGTAATTTTGTTGTTTTGTTATCGGCACAATTACAGTACGATTACCTATTTCTGAATGCTATCGGTTTTTAATGCTACCGAGACACCTTATTAAACATTAAATCTAACTAAATGAAATTTTTTAAATAATATATTGTTTTCAAAGTCTATAAAATTAGTACGGATGTGTATTATGTATGTTAAAACGTGAACATGCACGTGATCCGACGCTGACGGTGCACAGCCGGTTTCACAAAAATGACACGTCCGCTGGTAATAGCAGGGTTTCGTCAGCCCAAACCTTCAACCTTAAACTCGTGGTAAGCTTCCCTTGCGATCTGGATTTTCAAAATCGAGGGTTGACGAATGATTTAGCGGTGACTCGCATTCAAGGGGACTAGGGGATACGCATGATTTCGAACCACGTGGGCGGAACAAGCGGGATTATGCTGTCACGCACGTGGCTCTTTTGCATTGTTCGTCATCATAGAAGCACGTACCCGATACACCGCACCGTTTAAAACAATCAAAGGATCACGCTTTACGAATAATTCGTGGACATGTACTAAACGATCCAAGAAACAATGGAAATATCTTCTGTTGGACTCGATAGAGTACCACTGGGTGATAATAAATTTAATAGATAAATAGAGTAATCATTTCGGAAGCACGCGATAGTCAAAAATTGCGTTACGGATGAAAAATTCGCGCAGAAAATACACTCGGATTTTTCTTTTTCTGGCCCGTGCCGAATCGAAAGCGAATGTGCGTGCGTGCTTCGTTTATTTTACAGTTCTGGGAATCACATGCGAGGAATCGTCATCGCTGCTATTACACAATGAACCATTCTATTCCATTATTCCTCGTTTCCGCGAAAACTCCGCAGCGATAAGAATATCGTTGCGATGCAATAAAGTTAAGAACAAGGCGGCCGAACGCCTTTGCCTCGAATTAATGAATGCAAAATAGGCCAACGATCCGGACGTCTTCCGGTTTTTATGCAAAATTAGTGGCCCTTGTAGCGAGGATCTTTTGACCTGGATATTTCAGTTGCTTTGCCGTATAAATAATCGCCAAGCGACATATTTATTTCGGGATGATTACAAAAAAATGGCCAATATTTCAAAATAATAAAAGTCGATTCTTTCTTTTTTACTTTTATCTTAGAATTCTCATAGGTACGATAGAACGCGACCTTGTCGCTTACAAAATGTATTGCACGCGATACGAACTTTGAAAAGAGAACATGTTTCAGTTTAAACAAGTATAACTTTGAATTTTCAATTGTACGATTATCAAATCTTCTTATCGTTCATTGCAATTAGTATAATATGAAAACTTACCGGTCAAATGTTTCATCGAACCGTTAATAAATTATATCGTGGCTATTTCGTAGGAAACGGGCGTGCAAATTCTTGCTATAATCGAGATATCAGATCTGAGAAGTAACACTTGTAGACAGCATATACCGTGCGATAATCGGAATTCTATTGTAATTTACCTGAATGAAAAACCAACCGCGAATCCATCGTCGAACCTCGATTTCTTTGAGATTCGAGTAACGAAGATTGACAAATTCGAATCCTTGGAGTTGGAAATATCAGGTGAGGATATCCGTCGCGGTAAGGAAAATTAACCACAGCACTATGAAACAGTTCCGAAACGGCGAATCTACGAGTAATGACACAGTTCTCTTGGCGCGATTGCTAGGCCGATCGAAAATCCGCTAGACGATTCACAGAGGTTCGATTCATTCTTGGGAGGCGAAGAGACGGGATGATCGGATAAACGAGGCAGACTCCGAGCGAGGCGGAAAAAAGGAACGACAGACGTAGACGCGACTCTTGCAGCTGCGCGGCCGCGGCCGCGGCGTGGCGTGGCGTGGCGTGGCGTGGCGTGGCATGGCTCGTATGCAACCTACCAGAAAGAAAGAGAAGCGAGCTCCGAGGAGCCCGGTGAAGATATCAGGAACATACGGCCACTTGTTCTCGAGTTACACGTTCAATGAAACGAATAAAACAATAACATCTAAGAGAAATTTCATCGAAATAAAAAAAGGGTAATAATAAAAGGGCACGATATCGTCTACGATCAACTATTAATTTCACCTTATATACCACCATTTTAAATTATATCGCACATTCTCACTCCCCGCGCATCTAATTATCCGCGACATCCTTTTTCGTACGTCGATGAATCATATCGAGCAAACTAGCATTTCTTGCGCGATCCTTGATAAGTGCACGCTTGACCAGCCAATAGATCTCCACCGACGATAAAGCTAGCTACAGGCTAGCTGCAGGTAAGATAAAAACGATGATGAAACCTAAGAAAGCGATCTCAATAACAACCATCATATCAGCGTATCTATCCACAACCAACTATGTACTTACGAGGAATCGTAAGGATAACGAGATGGCTTGCGATACAAAGACGAAAAAAGACATTTCTCTTGGATTGAATTTACAGCAGAGCCGACCAACTCTAAGATAGGAGACGCGTACAATGGCGAGCAAACGCTTTCGTTAATTTATCGTGCAACCCGCAAAACCACACGTTTCAGAAATGCTCCAAACAAACACATCGTACCAAATAAAATTCCATAAACTTTTACACTTTTATATCGCATAATAATAAGCACAATCGAAACGTACGTTTGCCAGTTTCCAGTTTCTGTGCTCCTACGTCTTCGCGTCATTACAATCTCTGTATGTTTGCTACGAGAAGGGCAATAAATAATTTTTCGAAATAAAACATAAACGACTTGTTTGCAATATATTTGTAACGTTATACGCATACGTATTTTCCACTAACACGATGCCGACGTTTCGTGTTGAATGCAACTTCAAAGGGCGCTCGCGCTATCACGGCACGTTTGCAAGAAAATAAAAGGATTGGAAAGAAATTTATAGGTTCACCGTCGACGTAACCGAGCTTCGAATAAGCATACACGCGTTGCCGTGATTACATCTCGAAAAGGTGAAGGGACAGTGTTTGTTTGCCTTTCTGCCCAATATCCGATGATCATCCCCCGTTTTCTCCCCTTACATCAAAATCGGTAGTAATAACGATGACACAATTTTCGTGACGATGCAACGCGTCGGTCAATTTGCCTTGTCGATGCATTATCCTTTGTACATACGATGAAAAGAAAATTCAAGTCATCGAACCAATTATCGTATTAGGGTTGTAAGCGGATAAAACGGTTTGTCACACGATGGATATTTACGGCTGACTTGTCTGTCGCGATTCTTAAGTGGACATGTTCATTTCAAAAGTACAGAATAGGGAGAGTGGAGTACCTCGCTAGTGTACGCGCGTGCCTGCTTTTCTTTTAGCGTTTCGAGTAATTAATCGCAAGACGGTTTCCAATGCGTATGTCCTATACGCAATTGCGGCGATTTATTCACCATACGCGCAATAATTTTCTTCGTCACCGCGTGAAAAGGATTCAAGAGGCATCGAGACGGTAATCGTATTCAGTCGTAATCGGATACGAAAAATTTTCACCAAGAGCCGCCTGGAATTCTCAATTCGCTCGCATCCACGTCCTATGTAGATAGTTTAAGTACCCGGCGCGGATGAATATTTATGACAACGGTACGCAGGATATATCCCGAGCCTCGAATTGCCATAATACTGTTTGCGATTGTCGATTGGAATATTCCTTGTCTTCGTTGTTTGGCCGTAACATTTAGGAACGCAAATGTGCCGATAGAAACGTGTCAATGTCAACCGATGTGCGATGATGGTTAATCGTAGAAATTTGATTGCGCGACGAGTTTACGACTCGAGCTACTGAAACATTTCTCAAATATGACATTTCTATGTGTTTCGTTTTCAATTTTGTTCGCTGAAAAACGTTGATATCATCGAAACGTCATAGAACGGAAGAAAAGCAATCGCGGTTGGTATTGCTTGGAAATAAGAAATCGTTGGCGCGTGGGATGCGTCGAAAATCGATACGTTTCCCAGGTACAATATTGCGCGGTATGTATCGCGTTGTATTATGGTACATTTCGATTTCTTGAGATTCCGAACGAGTAACGTCCGCGCGCGATCCAGCCAAATCGCATAAAAAAAAGAAAAAAGGCACCGTGTCGGTGATACCCGTAATCACAATTTACGAACGAATTATTTATGGACTGTCATTTGGTAAATTACCGCGAGATTACGGCTCGTTACGTGGCTTCGTGCAAAGTTGTCGGTGCTCGGTGTGCTCTCGACCAAGATATAACGGGCATAGTCTAAACTCCTAACGACAAGCACCGTAGGGGAAGAATATCTGCATGGTACCCTAACTCGAATTATATCTATACATACTTTGCGCGTAGACTAGTTAAACTGAAACCTAATATGCACCACGGTGCCCTCCGCTTTTTCAAGTTTAACGTCGATGCTAAGTAGTGGGTGTAGTAGAAAAGATGAAATAAGAGTTTGTTGGATTACCGTTTCTTGGAAAGAAGCGTGTAGGACTCCTTGGAGCCGGTGCAAAGTCTCATCCGCATCTTGCGAGCAGCCCTATCGACACCTCGCTTCTTAGCTACTCCGCCCTCTAGAACTGGCATCCAGACAAATATCGTGCAGCGTCGATCGACGCCAAAACCGACGACAACGTTACGATCATCGAACACCGCCCACGATCGCGAGAACACTGCACTTCCACGCACCTCGTGATCTCTCGTGCCGCCTTTCGAAAATTCACGATTCACGGACCTCGATCGTGAATTTACGAACGAACGATTAATCGTCTTTCGGCCAGTGTGCACGGTAATTATTTTGTCAGTAATTTTTCCTAGACGGCCGTAATATAATTTACTGCCGGTAATTGTTGCTCGTCGCGGGTGTCTTATCTGCTGGAAGAGAGCTCGCCTTCCACCCACGATTCTCCGCCGCGCACAAACTTTTCTCTTCCTCGATCTTTCTTCTATCCCGTCTCCTCTCGGCGACTATTACACCGATAAGCGTCCACGGCCTCCGGCCGAAAGCGGGCGGGCTCTCGTCGATGAATTCTCCTCGACGCGTTGACGCGTTTCCGCGTTCCCGCAACGATCCACCGAGAGAGTCGATTCTACGATAGATCGATGCTAACGCACCGCTGGGGAACTTATTCGCGCGGGATACAACGGCCACGTGGAAAAAGGCGCCAGGGCTTTCCAGCGGCCTTGTTGCTTCACCATCGAGCCAGAACCGACAGATAAGCCGCTACTAAGTGTAGAGGCAACGAGTCACGGTTCCTCAATTTCCCAGATCAAAGAGAAGCCTCGACGGCCAACGTGCTGGCTGCTCTCTTACGTGCGAGCTCTCTCCAAAAGATGCGTTGCTTTCCGTGGCTTTGACTTTGAACCAATATGCACCGTCCGTGCAATTCTAAATAGGACACAAAACGTTCATTGTATCGCGTTTCTCCCTTTGATCACCGGCACCCTCGAGAACCTTCTCTATTCTTCCGGCTCGACGTTCCTTTCTTCCTTCCTTCCGATTTCTTCTATTACACAGTCAAACGTGAACCGAACGAGGTGTTTTAGAGGAACCTTCGTTATCAATGAAAACGACGCGTGATATTATGTATGTATGTATGTGTATGTACGGCTATACGTTTCTCCGAACGAAATAAATAACGCTGCAAAGGATACTAGGAATGCACGGGAACGCAATCTTAGGCGCGTCGACGCAACTTTTTCACGGTAAAAAATAAAACGAAATGCGTTTTATCGTTCAACTGTTCTCGTGTACGTGATTAAGGACGATCCACGACAAACGACGCGACGGTGCACTTAGTTTCGAATGGGCAACGACAGCGAACGGGACACATTCGTTCTTGCCGGCTTATCGCATTCGAGTTGCTCCAGTCGCGTTCCAGTTTCTGAATGAACCGACGCGACGCCGACGACGCTACGAACCTCGTTCGTTTCACTCCGGAAATGGGTAAACTTCTTATCTGGATACAAATTTACGATAGCCGATGGAAGATGGGCAACGTTTTATCGGCTCTTGATTAGATAAAAATTGCAATTTCGATTAAACAACGAAATCATGTTTCGCGTTGATGGAATCGAAAGCGTTTCGAACAACGGTTCGTTCGAATAAACATACCATCAACGATTCGAATCAAATTTTCCCGGTAAACGTGTCGTTCGACGAGCATGGTAGCCCGGTTGTCGAGAAATTGAGTCACGCTCGACGAATTGGCTCCGAACGTTGGCAGAGGTAACGAGACGAGTTGACTGATTTATCGCTGTCGGATGTTAGAATTAGAAAACCAGACGAAGCGCATCACTCGCGAAGAACTCGCGGTAAATTGCGTTGCATACGTTACACCACTCGCGAATCGCGTAATTCAACTATTCCTCGGACGAATTTCATGAATTTTTCACTCGTTTGTCCCAAGTTCCAAGTAAGTTAATCCGCGTCGGTAATGAAAAGAGACGAACGCGTTCGATGCTAAGTGGAATCAACGCAGCGAGCGCGAACACTGACGATCGCGACCGCGACCGCGACCGCGACGAAGCAAACGCGCGAGGCCTGCGCCGCTTCGTATGTGTCGATTGTTTGCCGAGCGTACTTACGCAGTGCACTGCGAGCAATGGGGGGAGCGCAGAGAGTCCTCGAGAGAAATCCAATGACAAAAGTCAACGAGAGCTCCGCTCTCGACGCGGCCGCGCAACAAGGCTCGAGACGCTGATAGATAGATACCAGCCGAGTTCTCGGTTCGATACGCGATACGCGTGTAAATATTGCGCGAATATGGGTAGGACGTTTCGCGTGACGTAGCTTACCGACCGTAACGCGATTCGAGGAATTTACCACCGTTACTCGAATACAAAAACGCTATCCTCGAAAAGCAAAAGCTCTTACGATGAAAGTCGGCAAGGTCGTTTCAAGTAACGGTCGAAGAGGTATTACGCTTTATAGTCTTTCTCGAATACACCCAATTTCCGTGAACATTGCGCGTTTCAGCAGTTCGCGCAACTCGAATTCTTGGCGATTCCGAATCGATTATCTTCACTCGCGACCAACGTTTCTGCGTGTAATTCTCGATTATACAAGACAAGCACCACACACGCGGCACGTAACAGGGGAAAAACTGATCGAGGGATCGAGTTTTGTATCGCGCACGTGATGTTAGTTCTCGCGAAATCACGCAACCGAGCAAAATATAGGGATTCCCGCACGTACACTTGAATGGGCTTCGGCCAAGAACGCACGTGGATGCGTGCACGCAGCCCGACGAAGCGAGTATGAAACAAGAAGGCATGCGTCACGCGCTCGTAAGGCCCCGATCCTAGTGCCGCAACTGCACCGGAGGGGGTAGATCGCTCGCCTGACCGGGAAGCCTGGGGAGGGGAGAAGAACGATGCGGGGAAAGGAAAATCGACGAGTGGGGCCCCAGGGAGGAAATATCTTTCCCCTCTTCGAGATCTCTCGCTTTTTCTCTTTGGTTAATGTTCGCGCGGCCTCGCTATTTCGTTTACTCGTCAAATTCTATTTCCGTTGCTTTCCATCCTTGATCCCCTGCCTCGCGGTCACCGTTTCGTTTCATCATTTCTTTTCGCCTGTTTTATTATTATCATTAACACGAAACAGTTTTAGTTCTCGATGTCGATTTGTGCTGTTACTCGGTGCTCGGTGTCTTATCGACGAGTCCGCTGGCTGGCCCTGGGACCAACCAAACATATTCTCTTACCCTCGTTTCGCTCCGCCGTACAATAATTGAAATTATTAGACTCACAGGGTAGCCCTCCATTATTCGTGGACCGTAAACATCCACGTAAGCGGAAAAACGCGCTCGCGAATCCATCCTGTAACAAAGGTGACAATTTTCGAGGGTTCGCACGCGACATATGCGCACCCTTGCACTCGAACCTACCAATTTCCGACGGAATTGTTGCTGGAATACTCGCGGTCGCATGCTCGTCGCACAGTGCTCGGAAATCCTGAAAAGCTGGCCAAAACGGGCTAATTTCGTTATTTCCAGTTTATTTCTGTGTACACGGGTTTTTTCCGGACTAATACACGCGAATACGTTATTTCCGCTATTATCCTTTAAACCTTGTTTATAGGGATTTTACTTTCGTTGTCGTTACACGAAAGGGCCACGAATAATCCAGAAAATCAATATCGAAAAAAGTCAAAACGCGTCTCGGTTCCGCTCCAACGAATCGAGAAAATTCCTTTTTAACCCGATAATAACCGATATTAGCAGCGGAGAGCTATCTATCATTCTCATCGACAGTTGCATCCTGCGCGGTCATTTAAAATCACAGATCTAGCACGTGTGCGTTCACGTTCGCACACGCTCCCTCTACCTACACGAGTACAGTGGTTTGCCCCAGCTATCTACCTACCTACCTACCTACCTACCTACCTACCTACCTATCTACCTATCTACCTACCTACCTACTCACCTACTCGCACATATCCATTCACCTAACGTGTCCCGTTTCTGTAGCGCTTTGCTCTCGCTTGATGCAAGCAAACTATGCGAGTGTACACGCTAAACGAAAGTCGCAAAGGTGGCTCATACCTCACACATAGTCCAATTGTAATCGATGTATCGAAAATCAAAAAGTTATTCGTTATTCGAGAATGCATAAAATAAAATTTGTCCAATCTTCCGTTCTCGCTTTCTCGTTGACGCGTTAAAAAGATGCAAAGCTGCGTGGTGCACGCGAAGCGTGTGGTAGATTTCGTAAACAACAAGATTAGTAGCCGACGCACGATCGCAACATAAAGATAACGAGGAGGCGTGAATACAACTACGCTGCTCTTGAAGCGATAACGTAGATACCGTAGGCGATAACCTGTATTATGAATCACAGTTCTCGTTAATATGAAAATGATATTCGTTCGTTCTCCGCGACTCGCTTATCTTGCGTGTGCCAGCGCAAGAAAGGACAATGCACTTCGGGAGACCTGGTGCGCGGGAAACGCGCTTGTCCCGCTATACAATCAAGAGAAAAAAAAAAACAATAAAAGATGTTACATAACGCGTTCTATGCATTGTGTCACGTACACCGGCCGCGCGACGAGAAAGCCTCGCGATGCATAGAGTTCGAAAAATATACGATAATAAAGAATCTGCCCGATATGCAACAGAGGTTACGCCTATCTCGCCATTTCAACTCTCTTCGGAAACACCGGCATCGAGTCAGCGATATCGAGGCTCTACTCGACTTTCGTATTCAAACGAACAAACAAGAAAGAATTTTTGATTCGCGGAAATACATAATTTTCCGCGAAAACAGGATCACTATCGATTCGAAAAGTTTCTTCGTCCCCTGGCCAAACTCTCCCTCGTAAAACGACGCCGACAGCGATAGGGTGTGTGTAAAAGTTAAAAAAAAAAACAAAAGAGGATCGTGGAAAGGGTGGTAGCCCCTTTTGGCAGGAACGACGCCGTTTTGACAGACCTTGACGAATTTTGACAGAAGCCACGGTACGCCTGCTCGAATTTGAAAAGCCGTGGCAATGGAATCCGGTCTGGAAAGAAGGGAGTCACGCACCGTGGCGAACCAACAATCGAAATAATAATGTAACGCGTACTCGATCGTTTTCGGTTGATCGTTGCGTTGCCATACGTGACAGATACCGTTTGCGAAGTTGCGTGACTACGGTCGTAGCCTGTTTGGATAGGCAATCCGTCGTACGCCGCGCCGCGTACAGCCAAAGTACCACTAAAGTATTCGAACGCTCTTCTCGCGTTTCGAACGAATGCGAATTATTCGAACTCGACATAGACTAGGTCGTCGAAAGTCCGAACCAGTTGGTTTCCCAGTAGTCGCGGAAACAACCCTTACAATTAAATTCTTCCAAGAAACTCTAGGTTCTATCGCGTGGGCCTTCGCGGCGTGCAAATGACAGACGCGCGGTGATCGCATCACAGAACGGAAACAAAACGATTGAAAAGCGACGCGTGCTTCGTAAATAGGGCGATAGTCCGAGGGGGAATAGCAGAGCGATTGAAGAAAGACGAAGAGCAACCCCATAGAAACCTGCTACAAACGAGGGTACCTAATTCTGTGCTTTTATCTGACCGACGCGACACACGCATATAAACGTATCGAGTACGACGCACACGAATCAGGACACTGATGCCGAACTGATGCGCGTGCGACAGACAGACGTATTGCGTTATTAACGACGACGAAGGAACGGAGGGTCACTCGGCGACCGAACAAAACTTTCCAGCCGGAAATGTTTTTTTAAAAGCGCCTCTCCCGCTCTATTCCAGACTGAGAAACTTTGAGTCCGAATTAATTTAACGAATACCATACAATACGTACACTTTTGGGTAAAACTGTAAAATCGACTATCTCCGATTATCGAGCACATTTTAGTTTAGTTTAGCCTGCATTTTCGATTTTCGTTTTACCGCCAATTGCTGCTACCCGAACCTCTGCAATTTATTATAGTAGGTACATATCGTGTAAACGGCTCGCGCAGCATCGGATTCCAACGTTAGCGTCAAAGCCCCAATCACGCTGACGATTGTACCCGACAACCGTGAATGGTAATTTGTATCGAACGGTTTTGATATATCGGTTAATTCGTTTAGCGAAACGGTGTGTACACAGTGACATTGGGCGTATCGTTTAAATCATGTTTCACGATCGGACGTTTCGCACGGTCCCCGATCCGATCCGGTACACAATTTCCGGTATACTAAATCTGTGCTAGCGTGCTCATCAAGATCTTTGAACACTTTGAAATTTCTTGGTCGCGTATCGCGATGGGCGATTCTATCGGACAAAAGGAAGCGGAAACATTTCTCTAAATACGACGTTAGGTTTCCTCGTGGCTTCTTATTCTTTCAACCGAGTCACCCCTTTGCTTTCAACGAGCCTTTTCGAGTTTCCAAACGAGTCTTCTAGTTTCGACTGATCGTCCTGTGTGCTATTCCACGGCCCCGCATAATTATCCAAGCGATTTATCCGCATTAAGTTGATAGATACATTTAGGTGTATTTAAGAAAACTCGATACTCGTTAGAAGCAACTTTACACTTGGTTTTATTATATCACGGAAACTGGTCGCAAGATTAATATCAGGTTTTTAGCGACCGTTCAGAAATCCATCAATCGTTTGGCAAGTCTGCTGAAACGTACGAGACACGAGTGACGCGCTGATAAAAGAGCTGTGCGAACGGCACATTATTTTCCGCCTTCGCTCGCAGTCGCGGATAAAACGAATGAGTATACTTGATCCAGGATGGAAATCCTTCTTCCTGTCGGCGGATCGTAAATCGACCTGACGTCCGTTTTCTCCGAGACAGTGATTAACGAGGTGTAAAGACACTCGGCGAAGGCGCGAGGAACCAGGATACGATGGAAAGGAACGCGAATCGCAATTTGAAAATAACGTTTGCGTTGATCCTACCCTTTACTTAACATTTTTATTCGTTTACGAATCGCGCAGACTCGAGAGCTCTGGCGGTAAGGTGTATTCGATTGGTCTAGCATATCTGTAATCTGTAACATGGCCTCGTTAGAGTTCCAATCATTTTGCCTTGTTTAAGGTTCAGGTTTGTCTGTACGCGTAGCGTTTGGCTATTACATCTCCTAGATCGTATCACAGTGGTCGGTTGAAAGACGCGACAACCATACAACAGACATGCCGTTGTTGGAGAAAAATGGTACGATGCACCGCAGGGAAACACCTGTTGCACGCTTGCTGACGGTAAATCAATCGAGCTGGCGGTAATGCACTTTGCGGGAAAGTCGTAAAAGCCTGGTTACGTCTTGGCTTTTCTTTCGTTTGATCGCGTCGTTTGTTGCGTCGTTTGTTACGTCGCGTCGGGCGTTTCGCGTAACACAACCAAAGTCTTTATACGTAATAATTGTTGCCGTGTCAGGTGGTACCGAATATAATGCTTCGTCGTTTACCTGCGAGATCAAAAATACAATATATAACGTCGTGTCAAGTACGACTGCTGTTCCAAAATTTTACAGCGAGTTAATTTCGCTGTCAAACGTCATACGCAAAGCATTCTAAAGCGAAACAAAGGAGAGTCCGATTCATTTCGTCCGCATCGCATCGCGTTGTTTCTTTTCATAAAGGCATCGCGCCCATTTGCATCGCGCTACGTTTCCATACATACGCGTCCGCGCCGGCGGTTTCTGCATA